TTTAAATGTAAATGGACTAAATTCTCCAATCAAAAGACATAGAGTGGCTGAATGGATAAAAATGCAAGACCCATCTACGAGGTGTGATTAAAAAAATATGGTGAATGTTTAAATTTTTAAAAAATTTATTACAGGGCCAGCCGAGTGGAACATTGGTTAAGAGCTGGCTTGGGACGCCAGAGGGCCCCAGTTGGGATCCCACATATGAGGGCCAGTGACACTGCCCTCTACAGCTAAGATGGTGAACAACAGCTCAACCTGGAGCTGGGCTGCCGTGAGTCACTGGCGACGGCATAGGCTGCAGCCCCTGCTGCAGTGGGTTGCCATGGGCTACCATGAGTAGCCAGCAGCCAGCGTGAGTGGCCAGCAGCCGCAGTGAGCTGCCTGGGAAGAGTGCAATGATGGTGCCAACTTAGGCCAGTGAAGCAACGTCCTCCACAACTAGACTGAAGAACAAAATGAAAGCAACTTGTCTGTTCCCCTGCTCCCAATTCCCCAGCTCTGTTCCCATTCCCCAATTCCCCAATTAAAAAAAAAATTAAAAAATATTATTACAGTAACAAATACATTGCCAGCAATCCCCTTCAAAATACTCCCCCTCACTTCGAACACACTTATCCCATAATTCTTGCCATTTTCTGAAGCAGTTCTAGGAGTCCTCTTTCTTGTCTTTAGTGTGCTGTCGTGGCTGCCTCGATGTCCTGAATCGATTCAAAATGTTTTTCTTTCATGCTCATTTTGACTTTGGGAAGAGCCAGAAGTCACACAGTGCCATACCTAGTGAATAAGTGGACACACTGTAATGTTTTTGGCAGAAATTGCCATATCAGAAGTGATGTGTGACACGGAGCATTGTCATGATGGAGGATGAAGTAAAGACACTCGTGAAAGAGGACTTTCAGAAGTGGCAAGAATGATGGGATAAGTGTGATCGAACTGAAGGGGAATATTTTGAGGGGGAGTAATGGCAATGTGTGTTTTACTGTAATAAATTTTTTTAATTTAAACATTCACTGTATTGTTTGATCACACCTCATATATGCTGCCTACAAGAGATTCACCTCAATAAAGGATATACAGAGAATGAAAGTAAAGATACGAAAAAAGATATTCCATGTAAATGGAACCAAAAGAAAGTTGGGGTAGCTATATCTATATCACACAGAACAGACTTTAAAACAAAGACTATAATAAGACAAAGAAGGGTATTACATAAT